CCATCTGGAAATTGGACTGGAATCTCAGTATATCTTTAGTCCATGATGAAGATTTAAATGAACATAAATACATTTCCGTTCAATCAGTCTTTTATTTTGAATCATTGTTAGAGAAATAACCATAAACGCAATAAGCTAAAGTATTTCAGTATTGCGTTATATTTAGCTGTCATGAAAGTATAGGTTACAAAATCACCTATACTATTTCAGATCGTCGAATGGGTAACAGAAGAATGCAATACCTATGAAATTTGCTGAGTTTTTCTACACTATATATCATAGATAAGTTTCACAATATTGTATTTTTTTCTGTTTTTAAAGCACAATTACAAAACCTTCTCTAGTAGCAACCATAAGGTAAAATTTATACTCCCATTATAGGCGTGGCTTGTAGTCTAGTTTTGCTCACTTTTAACTGTGGCACTATCTAGTTGCTAACTGATATATTTTGTCGAGAATTTTCAGCATAGATTATATCTGTCTAATTATAAAATAGTAATGCTACACTTTGATAAAAAGGGAAAATCAGAGTATTTAGATATCGAAATAGACTGAAGAACACCCCTTGAAACAGCTAAGAAGACTAACACAGTGCATGTATAACCTTGATTGCCAAAGTATAACACTCCTCTTTTTTAACTCATGCTATTATTTAACCACATTTTGATGCAGTTTGCTGGCTGGTTCCTAACAGTGGAAACTAAGATACACATCTGATCTATTTCGAACTTCTTTGCTGAATGTGGCGGAATCTGTAATAATAATCCCTCTAAGTTTCTAAATCAACACTGAACACTCGATAAACCATAGTCTTTACCATCAGGTTGCAAGAACACAGAAAACAAAATCCTGAACAATGAGTAGCTCGATGGACAACACCTTAGTTCTAGTGATAATTTGCTCTTGGTAACAGTCTGCGTGAGTACGTTAACACTGAAGTATGCATATCCAGATGATGATTCTTAAATAAGTCTGAAAAAGAAACATTCTGAAGTTCACTACAAGTCATCACCAAGCAAATCTCATCATAATTGATCTCCAGATATCAAAGACACATCAGTTCCAAGAATCTAATTACCAGAAGAAATATGTTAACTCTGTTTAATCAGACTAACAACGTGAAAGCACAAATAAGCCTAGAAAAACCTATTTAGTACTTTAGATTATGGATTCATGTGTCCACTTCTAATCACTGCCAGAATTTTTATTGATGCAATAAAGATCTGGTCATACAGGACAGTATATTTACTGAAGTATTAGATGGCATGACTGTCATCTTATCACTTCAGTCATTTCGAACTGACAATTTTTCCCAATGTTATCATAATCATCATATTAGTAGAAGCCTTTTCAATGTACTAGTAATTGCACCACATAATAACCCTCATTAAATATTTCTATAGAATAATTTCCAACCAATTATTTACAGAATTAATCCCTCACTGAAGTATCAGTGTAGGCATTAGAGAAGGAGGTGCTGAAGAAGGACATATTTACTGATTCATGCCACAACATAATCGTAATTTAGAGGTTTGTAAGGATTTATTTATTAGTTTCCGGTTCTTCAGATTTTGATAAGTCGTGACTGATGGGGTCAACCCAGTCGGGTATGAGGACAGATACTCAACGATGGCATTGGATAGAGGTCAAGCTGCATCATGATCCGACAGAAGTACGAAATATGGACCATTGGATTCCCACCCAGTGGTTGGATGGTAACGTACTGGCCACGGTATCCAAAGGTTCTGGGTTTAAACCTTGGCCGAGGTCATGGCATCGCGATGCTACAGAGCCCTATGGTAGGACGAAACGGCTGTCCAGTGCTCTCAAGTTTCCAGTGGTTCTCCAACTGATGTCACTTCATGATGAATACCAACTTCGAAAATCACTAAATTCAATAACAATAGCCTCATCACAACTCATATCTGTCTTCTGGAAAACTATTTTTCCTATTTAGAAACAGTTTCATGAATATACATATCACAGTCTACTTAAAACACTGAAAAGAAACACTACAGATGTACTACATAATGGATAAGTATGAAAACAGTTAATTTCACAAAAAGACGAGAAGGTAAAAACAATAGATTTTGGTTTTCGAAAAAGACTGATTGAGCGAAGAAATATATTCCTTTTCAATTAGGTCTTCATCTTGGGCTCTACACTAATATATTGGCTTACAATTTAATCAAAGTACCAATCACGTGGTGATGTTTCGGAAGTAATGATGTAAATAATCAATAGGGTTACTAAAATAGGAAATATGACTATTGATAGAAACAAGAAGGGGAAGAGGTGCACAAAGTAAACATCATGTTGACGGCCACGGTAACGAAAGTGGTCGAACAAACTTCTTTTGGATATAACTGCTAGGTTTGTAAAGGTGGATTGCAATCGCCTCTGCTATGTGAAGTAACCGAGTACGTAATCCATGAGGTAAATTAATTGGAATCTGATGGATAATTTTGAAGACTTTTCCAGTAACCACTCAGTGTCGTGTGTCAACTAAGTGTGCAAGTATGGAGATCTTCATAGTTCTAATTTATCCCTTGTTCAACCATGATGGGTGGTGCTCAGAAATTCGACGATGGAACTGCCTCATTGTATGCCCAATGTAACTCGCTCCACAGGAGCAGCTGAATTGACAAATGCACATAGAAGTGGCAGAATCAGGCAGTCTGTTTTTATTTCTTGCACCTAGAATCGGGCGGTTGTAGAAGGCGCGATATAATTTAGTGGCTGGGAATGTTTTATGCAAGACTTTTTATGCGTTGTGTGATGATCACACTTGAGAAGAAGAAGAAGAAGAAGAACTATTGGAAACCTAGGGGCACTGTACAGCTGTTTCATCCTAGTACGGGACTCCTCAACAATACGCACCCAAAATCCGTCTAAGGATCGAATTCAGGACCTTCAAGTTTCACGGCTAACTAGTTAAACATTTAGCTATTGGGTCGGAGCTCGAAAGTTCATAGTTTCCAACTTCTGTCAATTCACGATATATGGCGAAATACATTACTATTTAGTGCTCATTAGTGACATGCTTGCAGATGGATATCACGAAGTTCCAATGAGAAACCGTAACCTGAAGGGTCGACCAGTCGCAAAGCAAGCGGATGGAAACTTAAGATCTTGGGTGATAGTCATATTATGTCACAAAGTGACAAAAGTTTGAAACTATGGACCACTGAACCCCTACCCAGTGGCTGAATGGTTAACGCCTCCGCTATAAAAAACCTAAAGGTTCAGAGTCCAGTCCCTAGCCAGGTCATCGGGGCGTACCGCTGAGGAGTCCCATACCGGGACGAAACAGCTGTCACGTGTCCCCAGGTTTTTAGTCGTTCTGCAAATGATATGAGTCCATGATGAACACTTCCTCAAAACAATTCTTTCATTTTAGACAACATTCTTGAAACAGTATTGAATTGTGTGTGTAATACTTTAGCAAATTTACACGTGTACACCATTTTCAACCGAAATAATTACCACCGTGACCATCGAAGTAGGTTTGGTTCGGTGAACTTGTGTTACCGATTCCGTGTGATAAATGAAGGTGAAACAAAGGTCATATGGGTTGTAGCAAGACTCAAACTAGCGACCTTCAAGTTACCGGGTCGGCATCTAAATGATCTTAAAGATAGTATTATGATAAACCTTATCTAACAACTAATCGTTGCTAGGTTATCGTCTATTCTTTATGAGTAAACTGTTTTACGTAAGGAACAATAGAAATACAGTAGTAAGTTTGCTGATAGAGACTCACCCAGTCGGCATGAATATCTGCAGCTTCAATTAAATACTCCTGTGGTAGTTATATGATGTGCTCCAGTGCACTCGGGGCCGCACTGTCGTCTTCCGTGGTCTTTACTTGCAATTTCGGTGTAAACATGTGATGTGTCTGGGTAGAAGTAGGATGTGGGTTCGAATCATACGCGAAACCTGTAGTAACGCAACGAAATACTTGGACTGGAAACGAGCCTCGAAAGTTAGAAGACAAAAACCAGACCTGTGACTGGCATAGTATTTATACTGGGTGATGATCGAAGGTGAAATGAAAATATGAATCACGGCCGGACTAGAACCAGCTGACCAGATTTTTATTTCACTTCAGTCACTGAGTGTTTCTCCCCACTACCATATAAACTCTTGACGCGTTACTAACGCTTGATTGTATTCACACTGGCTGACATGCCCAGTCACAACTTCTCATCGTAATCCACATCTAACTGAATTAGAGAAGGGAAGTATCATATTGATCATCAGTTTGACTATCTGAGATATACATATTAAACCGAGAAGTGGTAGGACAAATACAACAATTAACACAACAGGGGATTAAAATTAGGAAAGATGAGAACAAACAGGAAGTGACATAGTTGATCCTAATCTTGATAAGAAAACAAAGTTTACCAAGGTAGGTGTAGTGTAAGAACAAATTGTTTTTGTACACAAATGTGGTTTAAATTTGTGTATAGCTTCCCTAAATCTCAGAATACGTCCCTAACTGTTTCTATATACAACTTTGAGAGCTGTTTGAACATTAACTTTGTGACCTGCTTCTATGATACGTCTAACTAAAAATGAACAGGGTCGTCTCCCACCAGCGTTTATCACTATTTCATACTCTGTTTGCTTTCGAAGCTATTTAAGCAAATGTTCTCCCACCATCAACCGTAAGACTCAATTTCTCCTCTATATGTATGTGTGACCACACACACACACATGTAAATTAGTAAACAAAATGATGCAGTGTTTAGGTTTTTGGTGAAGCATGTGTTTTGTTTTTTTCACAATGAGATAGCCTTAGTTTAGCAGACTAGGATACTGGAGCCGGTAACCCGGTGGTAGCTGGTTCGAACTCGACTGAGGTCCAGATTTTCATTTCATCTTCAATCATCATCCAGTATAAATACTTATAGTTACTGTATTATTGTATATGTTGAAGGACTATCATTTCTAGTTGCAAAACAACCTCACTATCAAAAAATGAAATCACAATATTATTGAAACATACCATGATCAGGTAATTTATTCAATAACCATTACAAAAATTTATGATGATGTAAAACTATCAAATTAATCTGATGGAATAGTTGATTTCAGACAAAAGAAACAATGAGAAAATGATAGTATATGAGAAATTTATTGTGAAAACTTTAGTAGTGATGCTCATCCGGTCTTAAAGAAATTGATCCATAATCTGGTGGACGATCTAAAATGATAGTAGATGCTGATTGCCACGACCAACTTCATTCGTATAAGTACCTCTTGATTTATCATCACTTGGTGGTTGAACTAATTTCTCATATTGGTATGGTTCAACAAAACTATCATTTGGAATATTATCAATAAATCCATCATTAGTTGTATTCACCTCTGGAATTCTATGATAACGTGTTCGTATACGACGTATTCCATAAACACTGCCAATAATCCCGCAAATGATTATTACTCCACAAAAGGTGGCTAATATAGCTGAGCCATCATGTTCTTCACTTGGAGGCTCAACTATAATATTTGGATCACCCAAACCAAGAATAAAAGTCCTATATGAAGAGATATTTAACAATTAAAACACAAAATGGTGACTTATATATATACATATATATATATATAACATTACATTTTTCCCTTAGGTTCCTAGTGAAACATAGGACCTCAGTAACAAGTCTCCAGTCTGCAGTCTTTTCAAACTGCCTCCACAACTTTCATTTCTTCCTCACACAATCTCCTCCATGTCACCCTCGGACGCCCAACTCATCTTTTCCCCTTTGGGTTCCACTCCATGGCCTGAATTTCAATACATACGTCATACATGGAAGTTTATTCAATCCATCTTTATTTTTTTCTTCATAACAACAACATTTCCCAAACCTTTGGAATATCAGACATAATGTAACGTCAATATGAAGCACCGTAAAATATTCTATTGTCTAGATAAACCAATCTACCCAATGCTATTTCTTACAACAATGGGTACTAGCAGTGAAATCATTATCAAAATATAACTATTTACTACCCTATGAAATTAATATTTTTTATGCTGGGTGATAATTGAAGGCGAAATAAAAAGTCATCATCCAGTATAAATAGTAGCCTGTCAAACTACAGCTATCTCAAAAAGTTAAATGATAAAATACATATGCAGCTGCTACTCAGAATATGAAGCCACTAGATTACCAATTAGATGGACATAAATCAAGATCTGAAACGAAAGTATTTCCACTTCAATGATGAATGACGTTGAATGATGACTTCCACTTTTAACAACTTCTTATCAAGATGCAAAACCATAGTTGACAACATCTTAACAATGATAGAGATTATGTATTACGATTTATTTACATTTGATTGAATAAAGCAAGTTTATAAAGCAAGAATTTTGGTGTAATACTTATTCTATGGAAAATTTTTGATAGCCTTAAATTTAAGGGGGGCCACCAATTGTGAATGAATAAAAGCCAACAGTAATTTGTTCTAAGTAATATTCACAAAACAAGTCAAATGTTAACAATGCAAACTAGGACACCTCAGTGGTAAATTAATCATTATTTCTACTAAACGCATAACACTGCTGAAACATTTTAATATTGCTACTTGAGACTTTATCCAAATAAGCGTGTAAACGGGCTTAACTTCGAACTCATCCTTATCGGTAGTCATCAGTAGACGCGTTTCTACAAATTTGCTTCTCAATGAGTGATGATTGAAACAAATGTGTTACAGGATGAAACTGATGCCACTCAGCACAGAAGTCAAAACGTTTACCACTAAGCTATTCAGTTGACAAACTACTCCATGTGGGACTACAGTGGATGTGAACCAGTATAGTTGTCAAGTACTGTAAAATGTTTATGGATCAATTTAACCACGTGACCGCTGTGCTGACACTGACTAATAGCATCTAACGTTATAATATAATGCACTTAGAGTCTGTCAGGTGGTGATAAGTAATAGAAGCTGAGATACACGTTTCGTCCTGTTTTGGATTCGTCAGTTAAACATATATGTAGCTCAGTAAGTGGTGTTACTCAGCTGGGACTCGAACTCAGTAACCACCACCTCAAACGTCAAAGCACTAACTATTAGGCCAGTGAGGTACAAGGGACTCTTCTTGTTTAACGGGTTTTAGTTATAGTTATTCATTGATACTTGTAGTTTCCCTTTGTTATTCTGGATCGAAATGAGTGACCTTTGTTGGCATATGGGCTCCTATGAGGATGTCTTGATCCAGTAAAATAACGAGGAATTACAAGCATCAACAAGTTGCACAAGAAGTGTCTCCTATTGCTCAGTGGCCTAATGGATAGTTTTTTAGCATTTAAAGCGATGAGTATGAGGTTCGAGGTCCGATGTGATCATCAACAATCATCGGAGTGCAGTTGCATCTAGCTGACAAGTCCCAAGTAGGACGAAAAGTATATCCTGGATTCTACATCTGAGCAACCTAGTAAACTACAACGTGATTATTCCCTGTACATTGTGCATTGATATATACGATGCACATAAAGAGGTTACAGTTATTGTAATTGTCGATGCATGAAGAATATGTACCTTTTGTAAGTATGGCAATAAAAACATGGAAATATAGATGCCGTTTTTCGCCCATAGGTACCAAAATAATGAACTGATATTGGCATTATTTGGTCTTCCCCCCCCCCTTTTTCTTTCTTCCTTAAATACCATAGATTAAATGACAATACTGAAATTCACTGATACTGGGTAATGGTTAAAGGTAAAATGAAAACTTTGGCTAGTGAAAGATTCGAACGACTGACCTTCGGGTTACTAGCCCTGTGCTCTACCATCAGCAAATATCGTAAAGTCACTCAGCAGTCGGATAAACTCTTTGTGACTGAAGTAAAATGTAAGTTTGCCAGTTCACTAAACCACGGCTATATCAGATTGTCAAACTGAAAAACATATATACAAACACGTCAAAAAGTGAAGTGAGCACGAGAAATACTGACTGAATTACCATGACCAATCAACAGACACCATGAAACTGTCTCATACTCCTAGAGCTTTTAAAATCTAGTCCAGTCTCATCTGAAACGTCTGTCAACTAGAAAACAGATGTTCAGTCAACTTTACTGTTCAACCGAACTTAGTATTGTCTTCAATATAATATGTATCTTGATTCATTCAACACTAGTAGCCACTAATTAAATCAGTAGTGTAACCGTCATAGGTGATACCATATTTATCTTTCTCAAACCCAATAACTGATATTTACAGAGAATGAAAGTTAAAGAACAGGTTATGACACGTGATATTTATTCAGAAGCAACTAAATATGTTAGAGCAGTGGAGGTAGCCGTCATAGAAATAGCTCTAGATGTTGGCTGAAAGTCATCGGAACTGTTCCCCCAAAATGTCAAACTTATCTATCCAGTTAACGACTTCATGAATGAATCGCTGGTTAGTCTTTATCCACTGGTTTCTTGCTTACCTCTGACTTTATCAAACAAGTCTACTTAACAAGATGAAGCATATGTACATAATTTCCTGTTATCTCTCTCTACCTTCATCTTCGGTGACTTTCTCAGCCAGGCAGTATTCAAAACTACCAGATAGAAGACTTGCTGGTCAGCTTTTAAAGTGTTTCTGGTTATCACTATGCTAGAAGCCTGTTGAAATACATTTACATTTGTCCGTAAATTTAGACGAGTTTGCTCATATCCATCCACTGATCCTTTCAAGGCTTCTTCTAGCTAGTAGTTAAGATCTTGATAACTGTTTTACAAGAGACTGAAAACGGTTCATAAAAGCCTGAGCATACCATGTACAAGTCCTTTTTGTCAGACTTTACAGCAACAAAATGTAGTTTCTGCAAGACACAGATATACAAAGTTCAGAGTTGTTTGATCAGAACTATTTGAAACAACGTTTAAGATTAATGAAACTAACGAACTGGTGAAAACCAGATTGTAGGAATAGTTTTAAATAAGACTGTCCCTAGATCCATGATTTAATAAATCTGCAGTGACATGCAACTTGATGTCTGATGATAAATCGAGAAATAATGGGTTAAAAATAACCCGGTTTGTGTAGGATTTTTGAAGTTTAAGCAGTTAACCACTGGGAACACTCTATGATTTTGGTCATAAAGGAGTATAATTGCATAATTGTATGCACTTCAAAAAACTTATTCCTCATTTTTTTCTATTTATTCATCGTTTGTCCATCACATTTCTTCTTGCTTATTTCAATCCTCTTAATGCTTGTAATCATGTAATCTTTCTTAAATCAATGAAATTTTGTTCAAGGCTCTAATGTTTAACTGCTCAGCTGTTTATTATTATTTTTTATTATTTTTCCCTTGGGTTCCTAATGGAACATAGGGATTCAGTAGCACGTCTCCATCACACTCTCTTATCTGAAATCACTCCAACCTGGCTCCACGACAGCCCACAAGCTCTCATTTCCTCCTCATGCGATCTCCTCCATGCCACCCTCACCTAGCACGCCCAACTCGTCGCTTCACATCTGGGTTCCACTCGACGGCCAGGTCTGACGCTTGAGGTCCCCAATCGGTCTTCTCAGTGTATGCCCAATACAATCCATCTCCATCTCCACTTCCTTCCAATGCATATTTGTTCAGCGATAGCTTCTTGCTTCGTTGGTTCGTTGGTAGCCAGCCAGCCAGCCAACCAGCCAGAGTTCCTTGTTGCTCATTCTTATTATTCTGGCCATCTGAGCTTCAGTGAGGAGCCAGTGTAGGCAGTTGTTGATGAATGTGTGTAGTTTGTTGGAAATACCTTTTGTAATGCGCCAAGTCTCTCAACCATACAGGAGCACTGACTTAACTGGCATTGGTGTTGACAATCCGGATGCTGTTCCACATGTTGAGTGCAGAACATCTCCACACTGGTTTCAGACTAATCAAAGCCTGTCTTGCTTTTCCGAACCTAGCTGAATTTGACATCCTCGTCTGTGCCTGTGTCACCTGTAGTTGAAACAGTGCTGCCTAGATAGGTGAAAGAGACAACTTCCTTTAAGTTTCTCCTGTTCATGGTGATTGGAGTTTGTTGTTGTTGTTGTTGTTGGTGGTGGTGGTGGTGGTGTTGTTGGTTGGGCATCTTCATCACCACTGACTTCTCTACACTCACTCGAAGTCCCATCTTCCTTCGCTGACTCACCTCTTCTGTCAACTTGTTAGTTTTCGCCTGTACATCTTCAAGTTTGTGCAACAAGACATTAGACACAAGTGATCATCGGCGAAATCCAAATCTTCTAGGATCATTTCCGCGGTCCAGCCAGCGTATGACCCTCTTCTCACTCCTCACTGTTTGTTGCATGATCCAGTCCAGTCGCCCACAATCAGGAATATAATGGGTGATAGTAGGTGGGAGCCTTGTCTTACTCCTGTCTTCACTTCAAAAGCACCACTGAGCTTCCCATTGTGAATTACTTGGCTGGTATGTGGTGTTTTCATATAGTTGTTGAATGAGGTTGATAAAAGTTTGTGGTATTCCGTAGTGTTGGAGCAGTTGCCAAATCACCTCTCGGTCGACGCTGTCGAAGTTGTTCTCAAAGTCGATGAAGTTGAGGTAAAGGATTCAGTTGACTACTATTCTATACTCTGTTCTATGATGATGAGAAGCGCTGCAATTCGGTCAGCATATGATTTGTACTTCCTGAATCCAGCCTACTTGTTCTGGTCGTAGTTTTGTATCTAGCGCATCCTTTAGCCTCTCCAGGATGGTGCGGCTTAATATTTTGCTTGCTTTGGGTGGACAGGAGAGTGATTTCGTGCCAGTTCTTGCAAACACTGAGGTCTCCCTTCTTCGGCAGTTTGACAAAGTAACCCTTCTTCCAATCACCAGGTACCTTCTCTTCCTTCCACACCTTCTGCAATAGTGGTGTGAGCATGTCTGCTGTTGTCTCTGCATCTGTTCTCAGTGCTTCTGGCGGGATCCCATCTGGTCCTGCTGCTTTCCCACATTCCAGTAGCTTTATGGAGTTCAGGACTTCCACTTTTGTTTGAGGATTTATGTTCACTCGTAGTTCAGCGGTTGGGCTGCAGGTGGTATTTCTGGACGAAGTGCAGGTGGTGGTCGATTCAAGAGCTTCTTGAAGTGGTCAGCCCGTCGTTTCCTTGTTTCTCTTCTTTGGTAACTAGATTTCCTTCATCATCTTTTATTGGTTTCCTATGTGTTGATCTTTTCCGTCCCAGATAGTAACCTGGTTATTTGATACAGTGTTGTCAGGTCTCTCTTACCTGCAGCCTGTTCTGCTTCACTTGCCAATGTTTCGTGGAGGTGTCTTTTGTCTTTCCGTGCACTCTTCTTCACTTCTTTTTCCTGTGTAGCGTTTTATAAATTGTACTCAGTCATTCTTCTCGTCGTTCATTCCTGCACTGGTTTATCTTCTGCTTCACCATCCTCCTCTCATCTATCAGTTTGCATGTGTCCGTCGAGATCCATTCCTTATCTTCTTTCTTCTTCCTTCCTAATACGGTTATGCAGGTTTCTTTCCAGATAGCTTTCAAAGAGTTCCAGTATTATTCTTCACAGGTTTCTTCAGGGATGTTCCTCGATATCTCCCATTTTTTCTTGATGGCTACCGTGAAGATTTCATTTGCAGTTTCCTCCTTCAGTTTACGAGTGTTGTACTTGAACTGTCATCTATCACCAGCTTCCTTGAAGGCTCTCAACTTAATTTGGAAGGCTCCTTGCACTAGACAGTGAGTGATGATTGTGAACCTACATCTGCTCCTCTTCTTGACCTCGTGTCAAATAGTCTGCATCTCCACTTTCTTCACATTGAGATAAACTCTATCTGATTTTTAGTGTAGTGTGTCAATCTAGTGAAATCAACTCCATGTCACTCGCTTTGTCAATATCCTTGTACTTGAACACACTGCCTCACTCCAATCAGCAAATCGTTGAATGCACACAATTCTGCAAACAATTTGCCATTCTCGTTCATCACCTCACAGAGCGCTTCTCCACCCATGGTTAGTTCTCTTCCTGTGTTGCCCGCTCACAGTTTCGCATTCATTTCGCCCCACCCACTAGAATTTTGATGTCGCCAACTTCGGTGACGTCTTGTCCAGTGTTGATTGCACTTGTCTGTGGAATTCCTCCTTCTTCTCTCGATCCGCATTATTTGTAGGTGCGAAGCATAGCATTGTATGATTGTGACCTTCCTTCCTTCCTTCCTTCCTTCCTTTTCAGTTGAACCCGTCTTGCTGTCATGATCCTGATCGTGGAGGAGATTGTTTCCCACTGCATGAGAGAGAGCCTACAATCATCTTGGAGACATCATGAAAGCCAGTCGAGAACTCAGTGTGCTGTGCTCGTGGTTGTCGTCTGGGTGACCATATCGGAGTAGATTATTGACTCTTTTCCAGTTGACAGTTTGGAGAGTCCACTTCCATTCCACCTGCTTTCGCAAATTCCTAGCACTGCAATCCCATACCTTCTCATCTCGTTTGCAATCTAAGCTGCCCTACCAGCTGGGTTCAAACATCGTGCGGACATTCCATCCATCTCCCCACGTTTACTTTCGCTTTCATCGAGAGAGAGAAGACACATCGGCCAACTGACTTCTCGAAGGCTTTCACCAACTGGCGTCGTTTTGCCTCTCCGATTCCAGTGAGGAATAATATTGTTTTTATATTTTGTTTGTACTTTGAAGTTTGTTAAGCGGTTGGATTTGTTTTATGTGGTGGGGTTGCTAGGCGTATGCCCAACCTTCCCTCTTTAGCCGGGTTAGGACCGGGTAGTAACTAGTGAACCAGTTAACCAGGCGAGGTTTCTCAGCTCTTACTACTATAAATTCATGTTAGTAGTATGTTATGTCGTGTTTAGTATTCACTACATTTTGACTTTTAGTCAAAATTTTATTCAGAAATATCCTTCTCTTTGAAGTTTATCTGCTTGAATGTTCACCTAAGAGCATGAATTTGATCAATAGGAGTTTTTTGGTCAAGACGTAGGTTTTTTTTGTCTTTCTATACAAACATAAAAATATATTTCATTGTTTAATACTAA